GGGGGAAAGGGGGGGGGGGGGACAAATATTCAGGTGAATCGGTGGAAAACAAAAAATTACAGAATCAAGACTGAATGTATTTTTCTGAAGGTGAAGGTAGCATCAAATAGTTATGGTTTGTGAGCACTTTCCTAAGTACTGTTTTTTATGATTGCAGCTGTCTCAACGCACTTTGTCAGGATCATTACTGAAGCATCTTTCAAAGCTACAGGTATCATACCTTCCATTTGTTGATACAACTGAAGTCCTTTTATGATTGGTTTTTTAATTTTTACAATCATTGACTTTTTCTTCACTATAAAGTTACTTCATACAGTATCGTAAATTTTTTTTGGATTTTGGTATTGCTTTTAGTTCTTTGTGCTTTGTGGATATTGTTTTCTCATTTTGTATGTGATGCAGGTTGATGAAGAACCAGCAATCAGAACGAATACCACCATATTGCTTGGAAATATTGCCAGCTACCTTAACGAAGGGGTTGGTAACAGCTAGCACTTTCATTCTTTTCCATCAGTGAAATTTTGAGCACTTTATAACACTGATTTAGATGTCAATATTTGGATCACCTTAATCTTTTAGTGATCGTTGGTGGCATCCAACATATGTAGATAAGAGTATTTCTATAGTAGGTATACTTGATGAATAATGGCAATATGGGTTAAAATCTGTCACAGACCCGAAAAAGAGTTATGATCAATGCATTTACTGTTCGTGCTTTGCGTGATACATTCTCTCCTGCCCGAGGAGCAGGTAGAACCAGAGACTCTGTTTTCCTGATTCCATCTTCATTCTCTCTCTCTCTCAGATCAATTCACAAAGTCTATCTTATGACAGGTATTATGGCTTTATGTGCCACCAGTTCTTATTATGACATTACTGAGATTGCAACTCGGATTTTGCCGAATGTTGTAGTACTTACCATTGATCCTGACAGGTTATCTATTCTTCTAATAATCTAATTTCTTCTTGTCTTACTTTTCACTCTTGATGCATATACAAACTGTCTGCATTTCTTTGGGAATTTTTGTGCTTGGTGTGCTGCCTTCTTGTTTTGTGACTTTTCCTGTCGCACTTCACTGTATTTAAGAGGAATCAATGGAACCTGATTTGAGGTTTTACTTGGTCCTTTTCCTTCTAAAACGTGTCTTCCCTCCTCTAGACTTGTCAAAGAGTTAAGCATATGTTTGACCTCATTACTGTATTTCAGAAAACCACTTAACATTATGATATCAACATATAAAGCATAATGATATTACTTTTCGATATACAAAGTGTATTTTTAATGGTCACTGGTCAGAAAGATATGGCTAGCTATGTATTGGTAGAGTTATGAGTTATAATGCCTTCTATAGCAGCAAATTTGCTAGAGTGTAGATGGCAATTGTTATTTATGTGTTGTATTAATATCTGTTTGAGATAGAGATTTCATAGGCTGATCACTAAATCTATGAGTTTATTTCGTTTAAGAAAAATGCACTGTTTGTTGTTAACAATGATTATACACAAGTTGCATCACTTGCTTGGTACTTGTATTGGTTTTCCCCCTTTCTTCTGAACTTTGTTGTGTATGTGCCTTTTTCAGGCTCATATGTTTGGTCATCGGAAACACATTTATTCTATATATCATAATGATTTGTAATTTGTTTTTGCGCTACACAGAAACTTAATTTGCTAACCTTTCTATGGCATAGTGACGTCCGATCAAAGGCATTCCAAGCAGTTGACCAGTTCTTGCAAATTTTGAAGCAATATAATGAGAAGGTGTGTTCTCAGATTCTAATGATTTTGATTTCTGTGAATCATTCTTAATATTATCTTTCATTTTTTCTGTGGGTATGTGAGATGCTAAAGTGATAACTTGCATTCATAACATTCTACTTTTTCAAACAAATCCAGTTTTTTTCCAATACGTAATTTTCTTCATGTTTGTTATATAACAATCACGTGTATGGCAATAGTACATATTCTTCCTACTACTACACCCACACAAACTATCCAGGCGAGTGTCTTCTGTGAAGAATCAGAAATATACCTCCTTGGCAAAGCAGGTCCAGATACTATTGAGCTTAAGCTTCTTAATAACACAAATACATACATATCATGGGTTTAATTGTATTGTTTGTCATCTAGGGTTTATATTAAGTAATGTGGATGTATAGAACAGGCCTTTTTAGTTGGTGGTGTAAGATGAATTTTCAAGTTTCAGTATGCAAGAATGACATCATATTGCCTATTGGTTCTTGTAGTTTATTTCAGTTGAAATAAACTAGTTGTGCTTGTGTTAACAGGTTCATATAGCATACATCATTTCTCTGTTTGTTTCTTCACATTAAACCCTGTTCATTTGTCAAAAAGTGCACATTCCGATCCAGATTTGGAGGTGATGAACAATATTATGTAGTTTTGCATTTATCAGAAGCAGAGCAATATCTTTATCAAGTGCAGGAAAATGTTTTGTTGGTCCATTAATCGAGTTTTTGAAAAGAGGTGTTAATGAATGTCTGTGATGGTGATGACCATTCTTTGTGGGCTCCTGTAGACAAATGCTGGGGAATCCACTGCAGCTACAAGCATAGGAATCAGTTCAATACCAGGAAATGCAAGTTTACTTGGGTAAGTTCATATTTTTACTATATGAACTCATTATTTTATACTATTATATTCTTTCTGCATTAAAACATTTGAAAGAAACTTTGTTGGATATCTCAATATTGGTATTATAAGTCGGATTTCATCTATTGACCGCATTTATGTTGTAATTTTTCCATTTGGTGATTTCGGTTATCAGTCGCTTTACGTAGCAATTTTGTTAAGCCCAGACCATGGAGTCAATTGTGATGGCACATCTAGAAAACCCTTTGGATGTATCATGGATTAGTTAATCACTGATATGTGCTGTTAATCACTGATTTCGGTTATCAGTCACTGATAGTTATTCACTTGGCTTGGAATAGTTGATTTATGTCTTCATTCTTGATTTGATTATTTATAAAGAAACCGTATTTTGTTAATATAAGGATTGTCACATTTGTTCATTCAAGAAGATGGCATTGACATTCAACTTTGCGATGACATTGCAGATGGGCCATGAGCTCCTTGACTCTCAAAGGTAAACCTTCGGAGCAAACTGCACCTGCTACGTCAAATTCCAGTGCACCTCTTACTTCTGTGATCTCAAATGCCAGCTCAAGTAAGAATGAAGTCTATCCTTTCTTTCTCGTCTTTGAATTTTAATGTAATGCAAATTTTGTTTGTTTTCTTGGATTATCCACGTTGCCCAAGGAAAGGAGGTGTTTTACATGTTAAACAACCAATACATCTAAAAAGCTTAAGCCATTAAAGGGAGTGTAGAATCAGTATTATGTACTTCAGCAATATGAATGTAATTATGGCATCATTCTGTCCTCCTGTTCTAATGCATCAGAATGTCATGGTCAAACGGTGTATTCTAGTTGGTAAACTAGGGGAAAATGCTGTAACTGTCCGTGGATAATACTCATGAAAAAACTTCGGAGAAGTTAGATGTGCTGCTGCACGAAAAAACTGACTATTGCTTTTGATTACCCACCATGATTGGTCAACTAGGATTGTGAACTTTTTACTAACTAATCAAAGACTTGAGATGAATGCGAGTGAAAAGGGATACAAACTAAGTGTAGAGCCCTGTATATATAGTCAATGAAAGTTACAATAAGGATAAAAAGGTAAAAAGAGAAAATTTAATAAGCCCTAATAAACTAGGCTGCTGCTATATCTCCAACACTCTCCCTCAAGTTAGGCACAAAAATGTCAACTAAGTCAAGTTTGACAACAGAGTCCAAAAGAATGGATAGAGTGACAGGTTTGGTAAAAAAATCTGCAACCTGATCACTGGTTCTCACAAACGATGGAGTGACAATACCACTGCTAACCTTCTCCCGAAGAAAGTGAACATCGATCTCTATATGCTTCGTCTTCTCGTGTAATACAGAGTCAGAAGCAAGCTGAATAACAAATCAATTATCACAATATAATGTAGATGAAGAAATCACTGAAAATCCTAACTCGCCAAGAATCGATCGTAGCCAAATAATCTCACATGTGCCAAGTGCCAGTGCCCGATACTCTGCCTCTGCTGACGAGCGAGAGACAACTGACTGCTTCTTGCTCTTCCAAGAAATAAGATGAGTCTCTCGAAAAGCACAGAATCCTGTAGTAGATCGACCGTCACATGCTCCCCCATAATCTGAATTTGAATAACAGGCTAGAGAACCAGCCTGAGATCCTGATGCATAGAACAACCCAAGTCCAGGATAAGACTTGAGGTACCGAAGAATATGATAAACTGCATCAAGATGAGGCTGACATGGTCTGTGCATGAACTGACTAACTTGGCTGGCAGCGAATGAAATATCTGGCCTAGTGTTGGCTAGGTAGATAAGTCTACCTACCAACCTCTGATAGACAGACGGATCTCTCAATTCCTCATCTTCAGCACTAAGCTTCAGGTTTGGAATCATGAGTGATAATGCTAGTTTGCACCCCAACATCCTAGTGTCTAAGAGAAGATCCAAAATATACTTTCTCTGAGAAAGAATAATGCCTCTGTTGCTACGGGCAACCTCAATCCCAAGAAAGTATCGCAAAAATTCAAAGTCCTTCACATCGAAGGCTTTCTCAAGGTCTACCTTAACCTGCGCAGTCCCAGAAACATCATCTCCAGTAATAATAATATTATCAACATATACTAAAAGGATGACACGTTGTCCAGAAATATTCCGTCGAATGAAGCAGGTATAATCAGAATGACATCTGGTGAATCCTAAACGTACAACTACATCACTAGAGAGAACTAGGCTCGTGGTGACTGCTTCAGTCCATAAAGAGACTTATGCAGTCGATATACCTTTCCAGCATACTCCTCCTCACCATGAAATTCCGGTGGTGCATCTATATAAATAATCTCATCCAGATCACCGTGAAAAAATACATTCTTTACATTCAACTGATGAAGAGGCCAAGAGCACTTCGTAGCCAGAGAAATAATCAGTCGAACAGTAGTCAATTTTGCCACGGGGGTAAAGGTAGCACCAAAATCACGACCTGGTTTCTGAGTAAAGCCCTTCGTCACAAGCCTAGCCTTGTGACGATCAATAGTATCATCCGCAAGAAACTTCAGGTTGTAAACCCAGCGATAACCAACAGGCTTCACCCTTGAAGGTAAAGAGACAAGATCCCATGTATGATTATGCTGAAGAGCGTCCATCTCTGTCTGCATGGCAAGAACCCACTGGGGCTCCTGCATAGTCTCTGAAACAGAGTGAGGAATCGGCGTATCTGATAAGACCATACTATAAGCCCGAAATGTAGGAAACAGATCATCATAAGAAACATAAGCAAAGATCAGGTATAAAATCTTGACAGTCCAACCATAGCGAACAACTGGACGACGATCACGTCGTGGATAACGACGCTCTAAATCATCATCCTCCACTGACAATGTCTCATTAGGTAAAACAACTGGCTTAGTACCTGCAATCTCATCAGTATTAACAACAAGTGCATAAATATGCTCAACAAACTGAGAAGTATTACCTGCATCGCCTAAGGTAGAGGGGACATCAGCAGGGGGATGAGAGCGAGGGCGACAAACATAAACCTGCAAAGGAAGAGAGGCTAGTGACTCGGTACCAGGGATGAGTGGCTCTGGAGGAGGAGAGACCGATGACTCTGTAGTGATAGTGACCAATGACTCTAGCTCCGGGGGTAATGAAAAATCAAAAGAAGTATCATCAATTGGAGGGGCAGACACAGGACTAGAAGAAAAATAAACAATATGCTCAAGAAATGTAACATCTAGACTGTGTTACATATGGCGCCTAACAGGATCGTAACACCGATATCCCTTAGACTGATTGCAATAACTCACAAAGACACAACGAATTGCTTTATCATCAAGCTTATGACAAGTAGGAGACCGATCCTGAACAAAACATGTGTATCCAAAAACACGAGGGGGGACCGGAAAAAGTGTTCGCTCAGGAAATAAAACCTTTAAGGGAGCCCTATGCTGAAGAACATGACTCAGTGTACGATTGCACAAAAAGGTATAAGTCAAAACAACAAAATGCCAATAAAATTATGGCACCCCCATGCCTCTAAGCATACAACGTACCATCTCTATCAGACTCCTATTTTTCCTTTCAGCAATGCCATTTTACTCAGGAGTATATGGACAAGTGAGTTGCTGAAGGATACCTTGAGAAGAAAGGTGAGACACTAAGGCATCAGACACATATTCCTTGGCATTATCTGAACGAAGAGCATGAACAATGATATGAAATTGTGTCTTAATCATCTGTAGAAACTAAGTGATTATAGGGAGTACATCGGACTTCCTATGCAAAAGGTAGACCCAAGTACAACGGATATGGTCATCTATAAATATCACATAGTATCGGGCACCTGATAGAGCAGTAACAGGAGAGGTTCCCCAAATATCAAAGTGTATTAGGTCAAATGGCTTGGGTGACTGGTGCATGCGAGGAATATAACTGGTTCTAACATGTTTTGATAGGGAACAGATAACACAATCAAGTTTACCATCAACTCAAGCATTGCTCAAAGCAGGAAACAACATACAGAAATATTTAAAATTTGTATGTCCAAAACGGTCATGCCACAACTGAACAGTTTGTGACGAAAAATCATAACGACAACTACTAGGTAAAATACTAGCATGCAAGCTAGGAACAGATAAAGATAAAGCAGGTGCAAGTGATGTAGGTGGAGTTACTGGCTTAATGGAGTGGACACAGTCGGCAGTCGGTGGATGATGGGTTGACTGTGTAATCAGTCGGTTGGGTGTTTGTTGGCTGGGTTTTTTTCGGTCGATTGGGTTTTTCGGTTGTCTGGGGAGTTGGTTTATGTGGCTGTCAGTGGAGCTACAGGTTTAATAGAGGCAGTCGGCAGTCGGTGGATGATGGGCTAACTGTGTACTGGTTGGTGGAGTTGCTGATTTAATGGAGTGGAGGTTTGGCGGAGGCTAGGGTTAGAGTTGGTGGCTCTAATACCAACTTGAGATGAATGTAAGTGAAAAGGGGTACAAACTAAGTGTAGAGCCTTGTATATATAGCCAATGAAAATTACAATAAGGATAAAAAGGTAAAAAGAGAAAACTTAATAAGTCTTAATAAACTAGGCTGCTGCTATATCTCCAACACAAAGCAAGTTGCAAGTTTCAAAAAGCTATGAGATGATAATATTGTTAAAATGTACTTTCCTAGGAAAGTTTCTCATTGTTGGAAGCTTCTTGATGATTTATTTTGAAAGAATTGAATGCTAAGCATGAGGTTGTTCGAATTGATGGTTTGTAAACCCTAAATGGATGAATAGGTCTTGATTGACCTAATTCATCCAAACTCCACAAATCATATTTCTAACAATTAAGATTGTTCGACACACACCTAGAATCAATATACGTAAAAATGTCGATCTAGTGTGTTTGGAGATCTAATAACTAACAATCAATCATAAATAAGACACATGATTTTTTACATGGAAATCCTCAAGGGAAAAACAACCACGAGATCAAGTTCAACCTAAACTCTCCATTACTGAATTTGGCAGAATACTTTGAAATACTTACAACCCTTTGTAACATATCCTCTTGTCTTGCACTCCTCCTGACAAACTCCCTCTTGTCGTTCAACTTGTAGATTGCAGGTTCCTTCTAATAAAGGCTAGATCATTTTCCCCGTGGAACACTGCTGACTTGTCCTCTTTCGAATCTTCAGGACTTTCTCCAGATTTATATGAGTTTGAGAAAACTCTTATCTCTGATGTTTTTGATTGACTAGGGTGTTCACACAGCACCCACAAGATTTCACACTAAATTTGTACTTAAAAAATATTTAGAATACTTTTTTGATTTGAGAATAAAGGAGAAAAAATGTGTTCTAGGTTTTATCTCTCAAAGGTTACTAGGGATTTTGATTTGAATGACCTCTTCAAAAGCTTTATTTTCTCTCTGGGAAAAACGATCTAGTATTTTGTATTTATAGTAAAACCAATGAGGATGGGAAGGTATTCTAATGAAATTAGGTTTTTATTACGTCGTAGTCGCTCAAGCGCACTAGCCCACGCTTGAATGTCAAACGAGGGAGTGATGAGCGCGAGTCCTAGCAATTTTTTAGAATCCTATTCCCTCATGTACTAGCCTGCTCACTTGAGCAAGAAGCCCATGTCAAGGGTGCGCTAGCTACTGGAAATCATTCGAAAGTAATCCAAATGACCTCAAACAAGTTCCCTAAGGTTTTGTTTGAATGTGGACTATCCTTGGGTCTTATTTAACACGTAAAAATCATGTTTTTCATACTAAAAATGTAAGGCTAAGTACACATCATATAAATCAAGTCTTGAAAATATTTTTCAAATAAATCCAGGGTTTACTAAGGTATCTAAGTTCACTTACCAATCCTACAGGAATTTGATTGCCACGAGTTTAGTTTGATCATCTGCATGAGTTTTCAGTCCGCTCTTCAAGTAAGCTCGATGATTTGAATATCTTTAATCTTCTGTGCAAAAACCACAAAACCTCAACTAACTTGATTCATGTGACTCACAGAAATATGTCAATTGCAAAACAATGCATTTACAAAGCATATTGTGGGGTATGGAGTGCAGTAGCAGCCTTTAGCTTCAGATAAGAAATAATGGTAAAATGAAGATATGAATCAGTCCGAGTCATTTAACTATTCATCTTTTTCTTCTTGGGTAGTATAGTTGACTAATTTGGGATTTTGGTTACTTACTTCTTAATATCAGTTTGTATTCAAAAAAATAGTAGTTGGTTTGGGGGATGTTTATGATGGAACTGGTAGTAAACAAATGCTGCTATGAAAGCTTGAAAATGAGAATTGATTTGTGGTTATGGGGAAGATGTGGAACCTTGGTAAGAGTTTTAGAAAGATTTGCAATATATGGAACTTCAAGAGACAATTTTTTGTTAAAATTTACTAAATGAATTCATGCTCCTTTTCTACTAGAAGTCATTTTCTAAACGCATTCTTCTCGTGGTTTTTGGAAATTTTCTGGGAGGGAGGCAGTGGTTTTTTGAACATTATTATTCAATAAAGGATGTGTCCTCTACACTGTCCAGTTAGAAGCAAGAAAGAGCTGAGACAGTTATACAATTCATGCATCTTTGTCTCTCGTTTGTCTAGCCATATATTTGTACTTGTTTTTTTATACGATAATGCAATTCATTTGGTCCTGCTTTCTCTGGCTCATTTTACTTCAATCTATGCTTATGTGGACGCCTGCAAATGAATCAAAATCTAATACTGGTTTCTCGTTAATTAGTGATGGATAGTGCAAGTACAACACCAGTGAATATGACTTCCCACACTGATTTGGCTGAGGAACCTGCACCTGAGTCCCCTACTTCAACTGATGGCTGGGGAGAACTTGAAAATGGAATTCATGGAGAACATGAGAGCGAAAGAGATGGATGGGATGATATTGAGCCACTTGAAGAGCCAAAGCCATCTACATCTCTTGCAAACATCCAAGCAGCTCAGAAGCGCCCTGTCTCGCTGCCCAAGCCCCAAGGTAATATCTTGTATTGAATTCATAACTGGTGGTGAGGATTGCAAACCAAACTAGTTATCAACAATAACATTCTGCTGTCCATAGCCGATTAGTTTTGTCTATTGCCGACTGAGTTGGTCCATGGAGAAAAGGTATAAAATTGTAATGCATTATCATGCACACAACCTCAATTAACATTATACTATGTTTGGGTGAGACAGATGCATCGTAAGCATATCCACCTGGAATACCCAAAGCTTGGCCTGAAATCTAGAATTTTTAGGGATTGAGAACTCTGGTTTCCACAGTATTTTGCAAGAGGAAAAGGAGATTTAAGTCCAATGTTTCACAAGTCATATCATCAATCAAATTATTTGGACTACGGGAGTTACTTGAATTGGAACTAGAAGGGCTTAAATCTAAAGAATCCAGGTTACTGTTTCAGAACCATACATGTGAAATGTGAATCAACTATTTGCCTTGTATTATTAATTAGGTTCTCTGTTTGTACTTCTGCCCCTTCCCACCTTCCTTTTTTTGTGTAGCCATATAGATTTGCGCTGACATCCAAATGCAAAATTGCAGTGAACAATCAAAAACATGGTTGTCATGACGCTGCTGTTTCCATTTAGGTTTCTATTTTAAAGCAGAGCTTCTTTTACTTCAGACAATGTCTTTGTAGTTATTGCCTTGGTTTAGTGGCATTCAGAAAGTTGTCTCATGGATGATTCTCAATTCGTTACAGTTTCAAGTTTGCAACCAAAAAATACGGCAAAGAAGAGCAAAGATGAAGATGATGACTTATGGGGTTCCATTGCTGCTGCTGCTCCAAAGTCTGCATCGAAGCCTTTGAACATGAAAACAGCATCTCTTGACGATGATGACCCATGGGCTGCTATTGCAGCTCCTCCACCTACCACCAAAGCCAAGCCTTTATCGGTTGGGCGAGGCCGTGGAGCTAAACCTGCTGCTCCAAGACTGGGTGCTCAAAGAATAAACAGGACGTCTTCATCAGGGATGTAAATTAGGGGTATATCAAGGAAGGAAAGTAAGGAGAAAACAAGAATTGGAGCTCTGTACAATGTTTTTTTCTTCTGGCGACAATGAGTTCATACTGAAATATAATGAACTTGTGTCACCATGAGTTGTATTGTATTTTGCCCCGCACAACAATTGATTTGTAATATTACTTTTTCCCAATCAAATATTATTCTTTTGCTCTAGTAATGTGCATTGATAAAATTTTTCCACGGGAATTTAAGTGTTAATGCGTCATGAGTTTAAGTCACGAAAATAGTCTCTCATAGAATAATTTTACAGTTGACTTCTTGCTCACTAGGCTGGGTTGCCCTGCCCAAATATTCTAAAATGTCCAAAGTTAGTCTAAAAAATGATACAAAAGAAAAGAAAAGAAAATTCCAATGAATCTTTTGAAGATTAATCTTAGTTGAGGTGATAAAGTGATTGTGGACAACTTTATGAAAGTTTGTTAAAGTTGATGCCCGAGCTGTAGGGGAAGTTTAAGTTGACTAATGATGTAGTAGATACAAGGGAGTTTTTTTTGTAAAAGTTTATGAGCAATGTTATATAGATTTGAAAAATTGACTCGATTAATCGTCCTTATTGATTTAGTTTTAGGTTTTAATATTTATTGGGATTCATTATTTATTAAATGGTTATGATTTTATCGAGTCAACAAATTATATCAACTTTTTAAATAAAAATAGTATTTCTCAAAGTTTATTAATAATCCCATTGGTATGAGTAGGAAAAAAAAATGCATTAGAAGGGCATCCCAGCAAAAGTTCATTAGGTTTGTTGGTTTGGTATGTGTCGAACAACATGAAAAAATATAAATTTAGAAGAACTTTAAGTTGACTAATGGAGAGGCAAGGGACCATATGGTGGGTATAAGTAGACAAAACATAAAATACAAGGGCATCCTAGCAAATGTTTATTTGGGTCAAGGGGTCGGTATGAGTTGAAAATTTGGGTATTATAAAAATAGTTCAAACACTAAAACGGATTTCTTCTGAGAAAATATTATAATCGTAATTTATTCATATAATTGAAGTCAATTATCGTAATGGTAATTTAGAAACAAGTCGTTCTCATTTGGAATTGTTTTAAAATTTTATATAATTATTAAATAAGATTCAATTTACGGACGTAATATAATTTATTAATTGATGGTATCCTTAAGTGAATAGCAAGTATAACTCAAATGGAATGTATTGATCATGACTCTGCCTTTTTATCCAGCAAAATATATATATGTATAATTAAATTCAATTGTCCGGTCTTTGCATAATATCCCACGCCTATAACACTGCCATGTTAGAGAGAGAGAGATATCTGTATGCACACAGAGTGGGTGTTAGAGATAGAGAGAGAATGCGAGACAGAGGGAGTTGTTCTGTTATGGTGTGTAGTTATGGTTACATTATAGGAACTATGTTAATGAGCTATTGGATCAATGGAGTGGGAGGTTCGATCCATGAATACAAGAGCGAAGCTTTCATTCCTCGTTTCAATTCCTTCTTCTTCCATGGTGGTAGTGAGGGACTATATGCTTCCAAAGTCCTCGATACCACAGATGATAAACCCCTCAATGGCAAGTCCTTCATCAGGTAAAGTAATTCATTTGTTGGTGGTCACTTGATTCTTATGTTTCTCTGGGAAAATTGAACCCATTTAGGCTGTTACTTCATTATTTTTGTTTATATACCCAATGATAAATAATGCTTATGGTGCCGAATTTAATTTTTGGGCACCGTAGGTAAAATTACACCTTTCGAATATAACTGGGAACACCATGAACCATCGCAAACACCCATGATCAATCATAAACTTTCGGTATCAATTCCAATTTTTTATGATTAATCATACCCTTTAAAAGTTGTAATTTTCTGTATGGTACATAGCCTTCTCTGTTACAATAATATCAGCGGTGAAATGGAACATACCAACTATGATAGAGTAACTAGAGGATTGTTTGTTTTTCAAGCTTAATTTATTTGCTTCTTTTAGTTTGGTAAGTTTAATTATTATTTTGGGTAAGTTTTTGTGTGTTTTTCAAGAATGAAAGGATGTAAAGTCGGGTAAGTTCTTGAGAAATGTAAACAAAAGCCAAACTTTATGATGTGAGGGAACTAGAATTGAGGCCTGGAAGTGTTTGAGAAAAAAAAATGGGTTAATCTCATTTTGCACCCCGAAAGATCGTTCGAATCTCAATTTACACCCTCAAAAATTAAAAATCTCAATTTGCACCCTCAAAGATAGAAAATTATATCAATGTACACCCCCAAAGATCAAAAATCTCAATTTGCACCCTCAAAGATAGAAATTTGTATCAATGTACACCCCCAAAGATCAAAAATCTCAATTTACACCCTCAAAGATAGAAATCTGTATTAATGTGCACCTAAAACTAAATTGATAAATTATACCTAGATCCCCTCATGTTTGTCACTTAATCATTTGAACCCTTTCACATTTAGAATATTACCCCTACATCTCATGACGTTTATACATGTGTAAACATAACCACTTTTCGTTGATATCTATTAATATAATCGTTAAAAAATATGATTTTATCCTAATAAAAAATTATAATTTCATATTACCCTTTATTTTGTGGATTCGATATACTCTAAAGTTCAAAATAAAGCTTACCATTTGAATGTCTAATAGAATGTAGATATTTATAAAAAGGAAAATATGAAAAACATTATATAAATATCTACATTTTATTAGACATTCAAATGGTAAGCTTG